TCAGAGCAGGGTCTTACTTCTAGCATCTAGACCAGCCTGCAGAGGAATAATGAAAGGCAGGAGTTCCAGACCAAAGAGGAGCCACTCTGAACCAACGAAGTTATCTAGCTTGTTGATAGGGTGGAATGAGAGCTGTGGAAGACAGAATTCAGAAGCGAATTAACAGGTTGGTACAAAATCTAGTCAAAGCAACAAATTCCTTGAAAATTAGAAAGGACCAAAGAGAAACCAATGATAAGGCAACAAAAAATATTTTAACAAAGTCACAAAACTTTAAAAAAAAAAAGGAGTGTGTTGTATCTCATAGCAGAAAGAACAGACCTAGAAAACAGATCAAAGAGAAAAAAATTCAAGAATCACTAGACTATTTAAACACCATGGCCAAAAAAAGAGCCTAGACATAACATTTCAAGAAATCTTAAAATAAAACTGCCCAGATCTCTTGCACCCAGAGGGCAAAGTGGAAATAGAAAGAATTTCCCAGTCATCTCCCTAAAGAAACACCAAAAAGAAAACTGCCAGGAACATCACAGCCCAAACCAAGAACTTCTGGGTCAAAGAAAAAATTACTGCAAGCAACCACAAAGAAATAATTCAACAACTGAAGCCCTATACAGTCAGGATCTCAGACACTACTATAAAGGAACAAAAAACTTGGAATACAATATTTAAAAAAGCAAAAGCTACAAGCTTCATGCCAAGAATAACTTACCCAGCAAAATTGAATATAATGCTAAAGAGGAAAAATATAAAAAAAAAATGAAATAGAAAACTTCCAAGTATTGCTGATAAAAAGAACAGAGCTGTGGAGAAACTTTGATGTTCAAATACAGGAATGAAGAATAATATGAAAAGGTAAATATAAGGACTAAGCAAGGATAAGCTGTGTACATTCAAATATAGGTAGATGATACATGTGTCCCCTGTTAAGCCTATCATCATGAGGGTCCATAAAGGGAGTCCAGTTAGACAAGGCCTGGGAGTGGTTCTGTTATGTCTTGAAGATCTTAAGAAAAGAGAGGAAAGAGAGAGGAAGAGGAATATACTGGGAGGGAAGAGGAAGAAAGCTTAGGGAACATTATCTCACCTAATCAGGGTGCAAAAGTAGATGTATATAAACAATGAAAAGTGGGTGGGGAAGCAGCTGATATATGGACATCACTTTCATATAAACCGGTCAAAAGAAGAAACACACAGTTGGATATAGAAATACATTTCATTCAACTGGGAAACAGGAAAAAAAGTGAAAAAGGAGAGGTGAAATTAGAGGAAGGGCAGACGAAGGGAGGAATTAGTTCTAAGCAAAACAAACTCTAAGGATGTACAAAAATATTAATAGTTCTTTTTGAGGTGGCAAAGAATGAGATTCTGAAGTTTTGTTGTTGCTGTGGTTGTTCAGTCATGCCTGACCCTTTGTGACCCCATTTGGGATTTTCTTAGCAAAGATACTGGGGTAGTTTGCCATGTCCTTCTCCAGTTCATTTTACAGATGAGGAAACTGAGGCAAAAGTGTTAAGTGACTCTCAGGGTCACACAGCTAGCAAGTGGCTGAGGCCAGATCTGAACTCAAGAAAATGAATCTTCTTGACTCCAGGCCCAGCATTCTATCCACTTTACCACCTAGGGATGCCCATAAATTGGGAAATAGACAAACAAGTTATGGTATATAAATGTGATGGAATAGTATTGTGCAGAATGAATCCTTGTCACAATAAGGAACAATCATAATTCCAGAGGACTAATGAGGAAACATGCTCTCCATTTCCTGATACAAAGGTGAGGAACTCAGAATGCAAAATAAGACAAATATTTCTTTGGTCATGATCAACGTAGACATTTGTTTTGAGTGACTATAAATGTGTGTAATGGGGGAGATTGGGATAGGAGGGTGAGAGGGCAGATCTTGGCTGATTAAAACAAGTGTGAAAAAATATGTATAGACATATGAAAAATGCTCTAAATCATTATTGATTAGAGAAATACAAATTAAAACAACCTTGAGATATCATTTTATACCTATCAGATTGGCTAAAATGATTGAAGGGAAAATAATGAAGGGGATGCAAAAAATTGGGACACTAATTTATTGTTGGTGGAATTGTGAACTGATCCAACCATTTTGGAGAACAATCTGGAATTGTACCCAAAGAGTTATTAAACTGCCCATACCCTTTGACCCAGCAATAGCACTACTAGATTTATTTCCAAAGATGATTAGGGAAAAGGAAAAGAACCTATATGTTCTAAAATATTTATAGTAACTCTCTTTGTGGTGGCAAAGAACTGGAAGTTGTTGGGATGCCCATCAACTGGAGAATGACTGAACGAGTTGTGGTACATGATTGTGATGGAATACTGCTGTGCTATAAGAAATGCTGAGCTTGATGATCTCAGAAAAACATGAGTAGATTTGAATGAAATAATGAAGAGCAAATTGAGCTGAACCAAGAGAACACTCTATCTAAAAATAGTAATATTGTTTTAAGAATAACTTTGAGAAATTGAGTCACTTTGATTATTATAGATACCCAAATTAACTATAAAGGAAGATGCTATCTGCATCCAGAGAAAGAACTGATAAACAGATGTATGTATAAAATGATTTCACATATGTGTGAGTGTGTGTGTCTGTCTGTCTAATGGTAGCCATCTCTAGGGCAAGAGGGGAAGGGAAGAAAAGAAAAAGAAAAAAAAAGAAATGTACATGATAACTTTATCATATATTTTAAAAGAATAGCAAATCGTACATAATAGATTAGCAGTTTCATATGCATTCATCTTTTTATTATACTATGTATGGAAATGCTTGTTTTATTCCATAAATTAAAAATAAAGTAAACAAATATTTTACAAAAGAAAAAATGTATATAGCATTTCTGTGGTGTACTATTCTAGTAGTTATAAAAAATGAAGAAACTACATTCATGATGAATTAACTGATCTCTTTATCTATATAGGTGGTCAAGCTTGACCAACTAGTATGAGAAGAGGCTGGAGTGAGAGAGCTAACATAGGGGGTGTATGGGTGTTGATTGACATGCTGAGTGCAAGACATGAAATGTACATGTGTATCATTGTAGGGGAGGCCACATCCAAAGATACCTCTGGCACATATCACTGTTAGATATTGGGAACTAGTGTGTAATATCTTTTAATAATCCATGTTAGTGAAGAAGAAGCTACTTATTAGGAAACAGGTGGTGTAAACCTGAAAATAAAAAATATTTGTACTTCATATTGCCAAAAAAATGAAAACTGCATTTTACTGCCACTATAAGAAGTACCTAATCTGATAGCTAAGGAAAAACATAGAATTACTCTCATAAAGCCTTTTTTTTAAAATAAACATTCATTATATGCTAACATTCCCAGAATAGTTTTACTCTAAACAAGAAAAGTGGGAAGTGGATTCTATTTAACATCTGATATTTCAGAATATTTTATCATTATGATTATGCCATTTCTATAATGGACATCATATGAAAACAATAAAATAATACAGTCATAACTTGTTTGAGGCATTGTTTCTACAGTAGAATTGAAGGATATTTCATCAGTATAAAACAACCATTGTGGATGTTATGTGAAGTTAAGGGAAGACTACTACCCACAAAGTTAACAAAACTGCTTCTTATATATAGCTTCAAGGGATTTCCCTGAAGACAGAATTATAAAAACTGAACAAATTGGCTCCACTAAGCTTGTGAGAACAAGAGAAATCACGGCCCCAAGGTATGATGTGGTTATCAACACTCCAAATCACTGCAAAGCTCAGTGAATTTTATTTTTGAGATATTTTTTACGCAGTGCTGTCTTGGTCATACCTTCTCCAGGCATGACCAAGGGAATCAGGATGCCACACATGAATAGATGCCTGCTGGGTGCAGGCAGAAACTTCCTAGCCTGTTTGACTCCCAGAGAGTTTTGCCTTGACTTTGGGACTGACAGAGTGGTTGACTTGAACTCATAAGCTAGCTCATTTGTTCCTTTTGGACTCATGGGAGAAAATGACTCAAGGACAGAGAGAGGTGAAAACAGTGGAGGAAATGTTTCCATGGAAGTAACATTGGCTCTGGCCATGAAGTAGCTCATGCTGGACTATAGATTTAAGGTGAAGTGAGTGAATCATTCATGAGCTATGATGGGCCAGATTCTGTGGTGCTGAAAAAGTGTGGGCTTTAGACAACAGGTGACAATCCTTCATTTTTCTTCTTCCTTTTGCCTTTCTTTCTTCTGTTTTTGTTTGTTTGTTTGTTTGTTTTTTAGGCAATTGGGATTAAATGACTTGACCAGGGTCACACAGCTAGTAAGTGTCAAGTGTTTGGTCTGAGGCCAGATTTGAACTCAGGTCCTCCTGACTTCAGGGTCAGTGCTCTATTCACTGCGCCACCTAGCTGCCCCACCTTCCTTTCTTCTGAAAGGAGCTTCAGGAGTGTTCCACTGGGGCATGGCGAAGCTCATATTTATTTCTTAAAAGTTTGTTTACCTTTTCAGTGTTTAAATGTTTACTCTTTATCATAAACTGGCCAATGTGAAAAAATCGTTAACTACTGACATTACTAAATTGTATGGATTATTGCTGGAATGTAGCATTGAGGGGAGTGATTAGGAGTGCCCTAAAAAAAGGAGAGAGATTTCAAATGACAGAATCAAAGAGAGTTATTTAATTTTTACCATTTCCCTGGGCAGAGAGAATATCCATACCCACACCCACACCCACATCCATATTCATATCTACATCTATACTGGAGTTTCTCTAGGAAAATGAATCTTCAACAGTTCCTGGAGCAGCAACTAGTTGGGTTAGCATTGAGGCAGATACCAAACATTCTCCTACACTTGGTGTGAAAGGAAAGTCACTCTCCAGAGGAGATGGTCAAAGAAGGGGCTAGAGAAAGTTACTCACATCAGGAGGAATAGCCTATTGTAGAGAGATAAGTAAGATTGGGCTTGCTTGCCCTGCATGTAGAAATACCACCACAACATTTAATCTTACTTACCAGTATCTACTAAAAAAACTCCATAGTTGTTGTGTAAGTCAGAACTCTCTGGACAATTCTTGATTCCAGTCTGATAAACTTCCTCAGCTTCCCGAAACGATTCCTTTAAAGAACAAAAACAAATTTTTAAAAACATCAATATTAAAATTAGCATTGTCAAAACATCTTACTTTGATGACACACAGGACTGAGGAAATGACTTGGTTCTCACAGGCTATGCCATCAGAGGGCAAAGTCTGGAAATTACTATTAAATTGGAAAATTTTCAAACATGAGTCTGCTAAGAGAATATGTTTCTTCCCTCAGGGAAATCTGAAGAGGCTTATCACTAGAAAATTGGTCATCACAATGATGATTTTTTTGGCCATAGCATCTGATGAAGAAGACTACAGAAAGAGTATTGCATTTGGAACATGAATACTATGCTTTGGTTATGACTCTGCAACCTACTATGTGTACCAGTTTGGAAAAATCATGAATATTATGCTTTAATTATGACTCTGCAACCTATTATGTGTACCACTTTGGAAAAATCACTTCCACTTTTTGGACCTCAGTTTCCTTATTGATAAAGTAGGTGGCTGGGTTGGGAGCTCTCTTTACTTACATCTATCTATAATGTGCTAAAGACTGGATAGATCAGGGCCTATATCTCAAAATGATAAAAGAGGAAAAGGTCCTATGTGTACAAAAATATTTATAGCAGTTCTTTTTGCAGTGGGAAAGAGTAAGGGAAGTACCCCTCAATTGGAGAATGGCCAAATAAATTACAGCACGTGAACATAATGGAATACTAAGAAATGATGAAAGAGATAGTTTCAGAGAAACCTGGGAAGACATATCAACTGATGCAGAGCAAAGTGAACAGAACCAGAACAATTTATATAACAATAATTCTGTTAAAACAAACAAAAAAAAAACCCTTTGAAAGTTGTTAGAACTCTAATCAATGTAATGGTTAACCATAATTCGAGAGGACTCATGAAGAAGCATGCTACCCACATCCTGTCAGTTTATACAATGCAGCAATTTTTTTTACATAGCCAATGTTAGCATTTGTCTTTCTTGACTATGTATATTTTTGCTTTTTTTTTTCTTTTTGGTGAGGCAATCGGGGGTTAAGTGACTTGCCCAGTGGCACCCAGCTAGTAAGTATGAAGTGTCTGAGGTCCGATTTGAACTCAGGTCCTCCTGACTCCAAGGCCGGTGCTTTATCCACTGAGCTATGGTTTTTTTAATGAGTGGGGAAAATTTTAATTTTTTTAACTAAAAAAATTAATTACAAGATGTTTGTCTGATTTTTGTTTGGAAAAATTACTGACTTTTTAAAAAAATTTATCTTTTCCCAATTACATGTAAAATAAATTTTTAACATTTTTTTTTAAATTTTGAGTTCTAAATTCTCTCCTTCCCACCCCTCCCACTCCTTGAGAATGCAAGCAATTTGTTACATGTAAAGTCACTCAAAACAATTTCCATATTAATTAAAGAAAATACAGACCAAAAAAAAAACCCCAAGAAAAATAAAGTTTAAAAAAGTATGTTTTGTTCTGCATTCTGACTTTATGAGTTCTTTCTCTGAAGGTGGATAGCATTTTTCATCGTAAGTCCTTTGGAATTGTCTTGGATCATTGCACTGTTGAGAACAGTTAAGTCATCCACAGGTGATCATCCTTACAATATGACTGATATGGTGTAAAATATTTCTCCTGTTCCTGTTCACTTCACTTTGCATCAGTTCATGTAAGACCAGGTTTTTCTGAAGGCATCCTGCTCATCATTTCTTATAGCACAATAATATTCCATCACAATGATATACCACAACTTGTTCAGCCATTCCCCAATTGACAGGCATCCTCTCTTAATTTCCAATATTTTGCCACCACAAAAAGAGCTGCTATAAATATTTTTGTACATATGGGTCCTTTTCCTTCTCTTTGGATCTCTTTGGGATATAGACTTAGCACTGGTATTTCTGGGTCAAAGGATATTCACAGTTTTATTTTGGGCATAGTTTGGACATACTTTGGTCATAGTTCCCAAATTCTCTCCCGAGTGGATCAATCAGTTCACAATTCCACCAATAGTGCATCAGTGTCTAAATTTTCCCACATCCTCTCCAACATTTATAATTTTCCTATTCTGTCCTCTTAGCCAATCTGATAGGTATGAGGTAGTAAGTTTTTTTGATTTGCATTTCTCTAATCAATAGTGATTTAGAGTATTTTTTCATATGACTGTAGATAGCTTTGCTTTCTTCTTCTGAAAATTGTCTGTTCATATTCTTTGACTATTTATCAATTGGGGAATTACTTATATTCTTATAAATTTGACTCAGTTCATTTGATTTGAGAAATGAGGCACTTATCAGAGAAATTTGCTCCAAAATTTTCCCCAGTTTTTTGCTTTCTTTCTAATCTTGGCTGTTTTGGTTTTGTTTGTGCAAATTCTTTTTAATTTAATGTCATCAAAATTACCTATTTTACATCCCATAATGCTGTCTATCTCTTATTCGGTCACAAATTCTTCCCTTATCCATCAATCTGACAGGTAACATATTCTATGCTCCCCTAATTTGCTTATTATATCACCTTTTATATCTAAAATCATTTACCCATTTTGACCTGATATTTCTCTTATTTTTTAATTAAGTAATTTATTTTTAGTTTTCAACAATCACTTCCATAAGCTCTTGAGTTCTAAATTTTCTACCCCTCCCTCCCCACCTCCCTCCCCAAGACAGCATTCAATCTGATATTAGATCTCCCTATACATTTCTATTAAACATATTTTCATATTAGTCGTGTTGTAAAGAAGAATTAGAACCAATAAGAGGAACCACAAGAAAGAAGAAACAAAACAAAACAGAAGAAAAAAGAAGAGCACATAGTATGTTTCAAACTGCATTCAAACACCATAATTCTTTCTCTGGATGTGGATAGCATTTTCCATCATGAGTGTTTTGGAGATGTCTTAGATCCTTGCATTGCTGAGAAAAGCTAAGTCGATCAAAGTTAGTCATTGCACAATGTGTCTGTTACTATGTACAATGTTCTCCTGGTTCTGCTCACTTCACTCACCATCAGTCCATACAGGTCTTCCCAAGTTTTTCTGAAGTCCACTTGCTCATCATTTCTTACAGCACAATAGTATTCCACTACAATAGTATAGAATGTTCAACCATTCTTCAATTGATGGGCATCCCTCAATTTCCAACTCTTTGCTACCACAGAAAGAGCTGCTATAAATATTTTTGTACATATGGGTCTTTTCCCCATTTTTTACGGTTTCTTTGGGATACAGCCCTAGAAGTGCTATTCCTGGGGCAAAGGGTATGTACATTTTTTTAGCCCTTTGGACATAGTTCCAAATTGCTTTCCAGAATGGTTGTATTAGTTCACAACTCCACCAACAATGTATTAGTGTTCCAATTTTCCCACATCTTCTCCAACATTATCATTTTCCTGTTTTGTCATGCTGGCCAATCTGATAGGTGTGATGTGGTACCTGAGTTGTTTTGATTTGCATTTCTCTAATCAATAGTGATTTAGAGCATTTTTTCATATGACTATAGATAGCTTTAATTTCTTCATCTGAAAGTGCCTGTTCATATCGTTTAAACATTTATCAATTGGGGAATGACTTTTACTCTTATAAATTTGACTTAGTTTTCTGTATGTTTTAGAAATGCATGCAAAATTGAGGTAGCTCAAGAGAAATGCAAGATACACAAACTTAGAGAATCCACCCCAAAGGTTCACAATGACTATTTGTGCCCAACCTGTGGTAGAACATTCTGAGCTCGTATTAGTCTGATCAGCCACAGTCCTACACACTAAAACTTGATTCTGGCATAGTGATGTCATTTTAGTACTCTTTCAAAACAAAGGACAACAACAATTTTAGAAATGAGGCCCTTATCAGAGACACTGGTTGTAAAAATTCTTTCCCAATTTTCTGCTTCCCTCCTCCTTATATCTGCTTTCCTTGCTCTTCTAATTTACTTATTGTATCACCTTTTATGACTAATTCATTTACCCATTTTGACTTTATCTTGGTATATGGTGTAAGATGTTGGTCTATGCCCAGTTTCTGCCAAACTGCTTTCCAGTTTTCCAGCAGTTTTTGTCAAGTAGTACACTCTTATCCCAGAAGCTGGGGTCTTTGGGTTTATCAAAGAGTAGATTACTATAGTCATTGACTACTGTGTCTTGTGTACCTAACATATTCCACTGATCCATCACTCTAGTACCAAGTAGTTTTGATGACTTCTGCTTTATAATATAATTTAAGATCTGGAACTGCTAGGCCAACTTCCCTAGCATTTCTTTTCATTAGTTCCCTTGATATGTTGGACTTTTTGTCCTTTCAAATGAATCTTGTTATTATTTTTTCTAGTTTCATAAAATATTTTTTGGTAGTTTGATTGGTATGGCAATGAATAAGTAAATTAACTTAGCTAGAACTGTAATTTTTATTATATTAGCTTGACCTACCCATGAGCAACTGATGTTTTTCCAATTATTTAGATCTGACTTTATTTGTGTGAAAAGTGTTTTGTAATTGTGTTCATATAGTTCCTGGGTTTGTTTCAGGAGGTAGACTCCTAAATATTTTATAATGTCTACAGTATGATTAAATGGAATTTCTCTTTCTATCTCTTCCTGCTGGGCTTTGTTATATTTCTAGTAACATATTGAACAACAGTGGAGATAATAGACATCCTTGTTTCACCCCTGATCTTTTTGGAAATGCTTTCTAGCCTATCCCCATTATATATGATGCTTGCTAAAGGTTTTAGGTAGATGTTACTTATCATTTTAGGGAAGACTCCATTTATTTCTATGCTCTCTAGTGTTTTTAATAGGAATGGGTGTTGTATTTTGTCAAAAGCTTTTTCTGCATCTATTGAGATGATCGTATGGTTTCTGTTATTTTTGTTGTTGATATGATCAATTATGATGATAGTTTTCCTAATATTGAACCAGTCCTGTATTCCTAGTATAAATCCTACCTGGTCATAGTGTATTATTCTTGTAATAAGTTGCTGTAATCTGTTAGGAGACTTCCAAACCTTCCTGATGAAAACACCCAGAGCTCAAC